TAAACCTTAGAAGAATACTTGCAATATCAACTGCTTGGCTCTTGGTGGTAAGAAGAAACCACAGAGGCCGAGGACCCACAACTCAAGCTGACGCGGGCAAATTACCACCCACCTCTCCGGTGGCATCCGTGGGGCCTGGCCCCAACCTCCGCAGAAGGAGTGGGGACTGGATCCAAGGGAAGGCTGATTTTCACTTCTCCACAGCCTCCCCGGGCCACAGCTTGCTCTACCCACAAGAGGGGCACTCCCCGCAGAGGAGACACCCCATCCCTTGTCCTTCTGCCACCTCTCCTCCGACTGCAGAGCCCTTGATGTCACAGTCTTGTCAATGTTTCCAGTGCAGACAGTTGGCAGGGGCGGCAGCAGTGAGGAGGGAGACGACGTGCAACGAGACCACCTCTAGCTGCGGGTCTGTCAAAACCTAGAGGCCAGGAAGAAACCAGAAGGACGCCCAGCCACAACAGTCAAGGCCCCCACGTGTCTTACCGGTAAGGGCCAGGACCAGAGGCCTGATGACGCCGAGCTCCCTGCACCCGAGAGCTGCCCTTTGCTTTGGGAGAAAACACGCTCATCCCCTTAGCACTTGTAATTTTGGTACGAGTCCTCTCACACAGGGGAGCCCATCCCTAGGCCCCTAAATTTAAAAGATAATTGGTGGTCCCTTCCCAGCCCAAGAGGATGACTCCCCTCGCGCCCAAGCAAAAAGTCTCCAGAACAGCTCCTTCCACGTAGACCCTGGCCACGCTTTTCCAAAACGCAACTGACGGACTGTGAGCTTGCCCCGAGCTACAAATAAAGTCACAGACTTGATGCTGTTTCTGATTGCGGTCTCCTTCTAAGGCGTGTTTGGGTGTCAGTTTATGTGTTGGAGAAACTGTGAGAGCAAACTAATTTACTAAGTGCATTGCACTTCAAAACGTCTATTTTATACATCAGATCAGTCTGCGTCATGTGGTATTTCTTGAAGGGAGGTGACTCATCTGTCTGCGGGTCCCCAACCCGGAACAGGCCCCACTGTGTACACAGTCATGCCCGACATGCAACTGATAACCCAGAGCCATCCTCAGTGCTCATGGGCTGTGCACGAAGGAAGCCACGCACCGAGCAGCCACGCCACTCACAGAGCACAGGAGGCAAAAAAAAAAAAAGAGTCGGGGAGAGGAAGAGCCAGACGGACAGGGAGAGAGAGAGATAGGCCCAGAATGTTCTAGAGGACAGCCTACTTCAGAGAGGCAGCAGAAAGTAAGATGTTGAGGCGGCCTGAATGTTTCATGAGCCTGAGAAAATACCTCGCTGCTTTAGAAAAGAACGTGGCGAGAGGCTGCAGTTTACCAAAGGGAGGAGGCGCAGATGGGGCGTTCACAGGGGGTGTCGGTGCTAGGAGCAGCGGCCTGTGGCAGGGGTCCGGGGGAGGGCACTTTCGGGCACTCTCCCCAGGAAAAGGGTCCCTGCTAAAGGTGGAAGGGTGGGTTTCAAGATGGTTTTTTCCCCTTCACTTGTTTAAAAATAAAAAATTCCTCACCAAATGTCAGCTGCGTGTCAGGTTCCATTTGTCTTTATAACGGTGTATCAGGCAGGAGCGTGGAAATAAATCAACACAGGGAGACAACGACCAGAACTTGCAGGCTCTGGGCTGGGCCGGGCCGGGCTGGAGGAGGGAAGCCCCACCCTGCAAGGGCTGAGAAATAAGTTACAATTTTGCATTCAGCACTGGGGCTGTGGCCCACGGAGCTGCTGTCCTGTCTTTACTGCCCTGCTCCCCACCGCCACTGCTCTGACACTTCTGGGCGGGACAGGAGCGTGACTTGTGCACTCCTTCCTTCCAGATTGCACAGGCATCACCACGGGTCAGACATGCTCTGCATATATGGGGAGGGGGCAGATAACCGAGCAGGGCCCCTGCCCTCGGCAGCAAGGCCCCTTCAACTGCCACACAGCAGCGTGAAGTTGCCTTAGGCCAGGGCTGAATGTGGCTGGGTGAGAGGTGTCAAAGAAGGCTGCAGGGGAGAGGCAGCAGGGCTGAACCAGCCAGGGAAGACGGCATTTTCTCTGGCCACTACCGCGATTAGTGCATCCCCGGACGCCAAAGGGCCTGATAATCTCTCCATTTCACCGATGCGCCATCAGCCACACTCCAAGTTGAGGAAGTGACAGGCACAGGACAGAAGGCCCACTCTGGAATGGCACCCAGGAGGCCTCCTGGCTGTAATTACCTCTTCCCAGGCCCTGTGCTTTGCTGGCTCTGGAATGAGCCTCAGGAGCCCTCCCCAAGTCGTCAGCAGCCTGACGGCGGGTGCCCGCAGCGCCTCCAGCGGCCCCGGGACCATGTCAGAGGAGGGAGGGCGATGAGGGCAGGCGGTGGAGCCCCCAGCCCCGTCCTCGGTGCTGGCGCCCGCTGTGCACCCGCTGAGCCACTCAGAGGCAGCGGCAACCCATGCTGCCACCTTCCCTCCAGCCCAGCCTCTGGTTCCTGCGGAAGGGCAGTGAATACTCCCAGCCCCGCTGTGGCTCCCGACCTAGGTCCCTGGGTACGGAGCATTTGCAGCAAAGGCCCCATCCGAGAAAGGGGCTGAGCCTCGGGACTTTCCTAGACTCCTGGCTCCTCCTGGCAACCCGAGGCGACCTGAGATCCCTGGCGTGGGCAAGGGTCTCTCTGGACCCCAGGCCCCTAAGGAAAGATGGATCAAAGCCATCATCCAGATTCCCTTTTGTTTGGGGTGTGCGGGGGGGGGGGGGGCCGCAGCTGATAGAAATGGCCATCTCAAGCCAGAAAACCCTCAGCCGTGCAAGCGCAAACAGCCCAGAACCAGTGGCAACCCCCACCGCACGCACGCAGCTACCTCGCCAGGCCCAGGCCGTCTCGGCTGGAGTGCAGGTGCGCCCCTTCAACAGTGCTTTTGCTCCTTAACCCCTTCGGGAGTCCCCACGTCACCCACTCTGTCGCCCTCCTGGGGACAGTCTTGCCCTCCCAGAAGCTGTCAGCCAGGAAATGAAGAGTTAAGCATGGGTTCCAGGAGTGTGCGCTTGAGCGCGGCGCCCCCGCAGGAAGACCTCCGGCCCCTGGGGAGGGGCGCGGGTGGCAGCCTCGGTCCTGGGAGCTCCTCGCCCGCAGGAGGCGGAGAGGGAAGGCGCGCGCCCGGATAGTTCCAAGAAGCCTCCTCTCCTCCGCCCCCACCGCTCCGGCGCTCAGCGGCCTGGGGTGACCCCCCAGCAGCCCATACCCCGCTTTCATCAGGCAGGGCCTTCTCGGCAACTTTTCTCCCTCTCTCCCTTCACAATTTTCGCTCACCTGGAGGGTCTGGTTTTAATTAGTGTAATATCCCCGTGAACAACGCAGCCTAATTAAGACATCCGCCCCGAATCTGCGATGCACACTTAATGAGCAGGTTCTGCCGCAATGTTTATACTTTTATTTTTTCATTATTTTTTGCCGACCAGTAAAACCGAAGCCGACTTCCGGCTGAAAGACCTCATTACGGCGACCCCACTCCATTAGCCTCCTACCTGCTCCACGCTAAGTGCCAGGGGCGCCCGGGTGCGCGCCCAAGGCGTCCCCGAGTCCAGCCTGCGTTTTCAGCAGGAAATTAGCGACCGCTGAGCCCGAGAAGCGACTTCGCCTTGAACTGGGGCAGGAGGGGGGACCTAAACCCAGGGATGGATCCCTCGGGTCTCTGTCCTTAGCCTCCACCGCGGGGTGTCTCGCGCTTGGGACCAGCGGCTCCGCAGGAGTCCTTTTTAAAAGTGATCGTTAAATAAATCAGGTCCCCTGCCAAAGCCGGAACGGAAAGGGGAGGGGGAGGCAGCTCTGTCATCCAGGAGTTTCTCCCCACCTCGCTGGGCCCCCGCCCCGCCGGTAGACTCCGGGAACATCCCACCCCCACCCCACGTGAGACTAGGGATCCCAGGGCCGCTTGGGGACCCGACAGCTTCCCGAAGCCCCTCCACGCGGGGCGCCGCGCCTTGGTCCCTGCGCCGACACTGCAGGGCTGCGCGCCCGGGGGAGGGAGGCTGCGACCCGCAGCTCCAAAATGACCACCGGCCTCGCGCCCCAATCCACCCCACAGAAAACCACCCTCCTGGGGGGACGAGTCCAAGAAGCCCCTGGTGAGCCCTGCCACCGCCCGGGGCCACCGGGGCAGAAAGTTTGGGCCAGGGGCGTGCCCGATTTCCCAAGCCTGACCCGGCTGCTCGAGCCCCTGGGGGCGGCCAAGGTTTCGGAGAGGCAGCCTCGGCTCCCGCCGGAGCCTTCCTAACGCGCTCGCTCGGGGACTCGGCCGGGAGCGCCCCCAGCCCGCCCCCTGGAGGGCCCTGCGTGCCGCTCGGTACCCACGCATGCTGCGGCCCCGCGGGCCCCGCTCCTGTCTGGGGAGCTGTGGCAGCCCCTTCCTCCCCACAACTCCTTTGGGTCATCAACCTCTCAGCGACCCTCCTTCCAGAGGACCCGGCAGGGCTCTCTCGGGATCTGGGGACCGCTACAGAAGCACGGTGCACCACCGCCGGGTCGCCAGCCCCTCTCCCGTCCGCGCGGGCTCCGGCTGCCTTCCCGGACGCACCCCGCGGGGCCGGGATCTCCGCGCGCCTCTGCCTCCCCCCGCCGGGGAGTTCCCCGCGCCGGGCATTGTGCCGCCGCCGCCGCCGCCACCGCCGCCGCCACCGCCACCGCCACCGCCACCGCCACCGCCACGCAGCGCGCGCGGGACTTCCCGGCGTCTCCATGGAGCCCGACCCCCGGGCCTTCTCGTTCACAAAATCGCCCCTCTGGCCCACGGCCGGGCAGAGCGTCCGGACCCCATCCCCGGAGGAACCCCGGGACCCCTGACCCCGAGGGCGCCACCCCTCCCCACGCGCCCTCAGGTCAGCCCCAGCCGCGCTCTGCGTTCCGCCTCCCGCCGCAGGGTCCCGTGCGCCCCTCCCCCGCCGTGACCCCCTCCCCCAGCTCAGCCCGCTGGTAATGACCGCCCGCCGCAGGGCGAGGCGGGCGACGAGGGCCGGCTACTCACGGGCTCAGCGCTCCCCGCGGCAGGTGACGGGGGGCCGGCGGCCATGCCCCGGCTGCATCCCGGCCGCTGAGCGGGCAGCGGAGTCCCGGGGCCGCACGGGCACCCGCGAGCCGGCGGCAAGGGGCGCGCGAGGCCCGGCTCTGGCGGCCGCAGTGGCAGCTGCTTCTCCTCCGACCACGCGAGCTGCTGGGGCCCGGCTGGGGCGGCTGTCCGGGGAGGTTCTGCTGGCTCCGGAGCAGCCCCGCGCTCGCTCTTCCCTCGCCGCCTCCCTTCTCCTCTCTCTCTCCCCCCTCCTCTCTCCGCCCTCCTCTCTCTCTCTCTCTCTCTCTCTCTCTCTCTCTCTCTCTCTCCTCTCTCCCCTCTCTCTCTCTCTCCTCTCTCTCTCTCTCTCGTTCCTCTGGCTCGCTCGGCTGGAGCGAGGCGGCAGCAGGAGCACGCGGCGGCGCCGGCGGTGGCGGCTCCGGCGGAGCGCGCAGCGCGCTGCAAGGGAGGGGGCTCAGGCGGTCGCGCGGCCAGGGAGGGCGGAGAGCGGGGAAAGCCATGGCCGGGTGGGCTTAGGCCGTCAGCACCCTGCGGCCTTCAGCTCCACTCCTCGGGGCAGGAGCTTGGAAGAGGTGGGTACACAGCGAGGACCCCAGAACCCAGTGGTGCCCTGGTCCCCTCAAGGGCAGCCCCAAGCCCGCAGCTTCTTTCCACCTCCAGATTATCTTGGGGGCTGGCCAGCCCGGGTGACCCCTAACAGGACCCCTGCCCTGGTGACTCACTGTCCCTAAGGGCCATTTTTCTGTCCCAGGCCCAGGGATCCCCAGCAATGGGACGTGGTCACCAAGTATCATGGACCAATGCCACCCCACCTTGCGTGCCATGCCATGCCTTCTAGTGGCCCGCATGCCCCATACCCCTGTACTAGGCCCAGGTGCCCTGACTTCTGGGGGATCTCCGGAGAGGATGCTCTCGGGCCCACTCCACGTTGTTAGTCCAGATTGGCCAACCCAACCCATTTACAATTGTCCACCTGCACATGGCTGGAGAGGAAGGGCTGTGGGGGTCAGCTTAGGATTTGCTAAAATCAGAACTGGGCGACTCCTGTCCCCAGTCCCAGCCTCCCCCAGCCTCTAGGTTAAGGAGCCTGGTTTGGGGTCTGGGAGGGTCTCTATCCTTGGTGCAGAGAGCAGGAGAGCAGAGGCTGAGGACATGGTGGAATGGGGACCCTCTGGAAAGGCAGGAGAGCTCTACCGCTGGGGTCAGCCTGCCACTGGCTCGCCGCACCAGAGGTGGGAGAAGTGGGCAAGAAGGCCCAAACAGGTTTGTGCAGGCCCAAGCAATCGTTTCCAAAACAAAAGGCATTCTGGTGCAGCACCCGGGCTGGAGGAACAGGCCTGTACCCTCGAAGGACATTTCTAATCTAAACCCGCCCCGGGGTTGCTTCTGCTCCTGAAGGCCGCTTCTGGAACAATCAGCCTCCTCCTCACACCTGACTGTGCTGCTGTTTCGTGTGAGGCGGAAAGCTCGTCATGGAATCTGGGGTTTGGTAGGGGTCTGGAAGACCCGGAGGCCAGTCAGGGTGGGGGCACGGACTTGGAGCTTCTCCGTGCTAGGGGCTCTGGGCTGCTGGCTGCCCACCCTGCAGGGCAGCAGAGCCGGTGACCAAGACAGTGGCTGCTGCCCTCTTACGAGCTTCATGTTTTGAATGTGTGGCCCTCCAGCCTGTCTGGGTCACTGATCTGTGTTGGCCGGTGGGAATCGTGTTATACAATTCCAAGCATACAGCTAAACACCCTGCAGCTAACCAGCAGATAAACGCCTTGTCCACCAGCAAGGCAGCTGCCCGGTTGACTGAACCTTCCCCAGCCCCCGGATTTGAAATGGCGCATCCCAGCTCAAAAGCCCTAATTGGGCCTCTCAGTTCTCTGCTGTCAGATGGTCCAGGCTTCCTGGCCTCCAGCTCCCCGGCTGGGCACAGCTACTGCCAGGCCGGCGCCCATCTCCCTGCGGACAGAGCTGTGCCAGCAGCGCCCCCTGTCGGTCCCGCCTGTCCCCTGCCCACATTTCTTCTCCCCTGGGTGTCCCCTCCTCCCTGGTCCAGACCCTACTTGCCTTCGGAGCCTCCTCACAGAAGCGTCTCAAAGAATGAGGCTCCAGCCCACCACTGTCTCCCTTCAGCTCCCCATGCAAGTTCTGCGTGTGTCTGTGAAGTGGGGACACATTTACCTGGCAGAGCTGTGTGCCCGAGTGGAAAAGATGTCCCTGCAAAGCACAGGACCCCATAAGTCACTCCTCAGGGACGTTCTAGAAGAGCTCTCTGAAAAAAGCACCAAATCTTATTCCAAGCTCCACTGGGCCCAGCCCCATGCTCAGGACACGGTGGCCCTGCTGAGACACCCGGGTGGTGAATTGAAATTGGCCTCTGTGGTTTAGACTGGCCACACGGCCTGCATGTGAGGATGCCCCTTGGGGACAGGCCCATGCCAGGCCGGCGTCATTACCAGCCCCAGAGAGTTTGCCCTTCACGCTCAGCTGTCATAGACGGATCTGGCTGGAAAAGAGCGCATGTCGGGGCCGGCAGGATGCCCTAGCACTAACCAGCAGGGATTCCATTTGGGGATATCATCTAAGAGAATTTTTTAAACCTCTGATTTGGAAACTTTAATTTTTAAAGAGTGAGCACACGGGGAGGACTGGAGCGTCCTTGGCAATACTCACAAGGAGAGAAACAGGGAGGCTGGGCTTGGGGCCAACGGGGCAACTGAACGCACAGAGCTCACTTCGTCCCTCTGAAAAACGCCACTAAAACTACGACGAGAACATCTGTGAAAGGTGCTGGATGAGGTGGCTCACGCCTGTAATCCCAGCACTTTGGGAGGCCGAGGCGGGTGGATCACTTGAAGTTAGGAGTTCGAGACCAGCCTGGCTAACATGGCAAAACCCTGTCTCTATTAAAAATACAAAAATTATCTGGGCGCAGTTGTGGGCGCCTGTAATCCCAGCTCCTCGGGAGGCTGAAGCAAGAGAATTGTTTGAACCCAGGAGGCGGAGGTTGCAGTGAGCCAAGATTGCATCACTGCACTCTAGCCTGGGCAACAAGAGCAAGACTGTCTCAAAAACAAAACAAAACAAAACAAAACAAAACAAAAAAAGGCATAAACCCCCAAAGACCTGGAGAATAGGAGAAAAGAGAGCCGGCTGTGGGCAGTGGGGAGGCACAGGACAAGTGGCGGCCGGCCCTCGCGGAGCTGAGTCTTGGCCCAGCAGCAGGGAAGGCTGACAAAGGAATCTCCCAAAGGCTCAGAACCAGCGGGACCCCAGACCTGGGGAAGCCTGGCCCTCTGGAGATTTATTCCCTGGGGATGCTGAAGCAGCCTCTGTGGCCTGGAAGCCACCACACACTGTGGACCGAGGAGCATCCTGCACGGAAAACCCAATTCCGCCCACAGCATTTGTCAGGATCCCGACCTCCAGCACCCAGAATATCCTCTGGGGAAATCTGATCAGCACTCAGAGGGGAAACCCAAAGAGAGAGCTTTGCTGCCTCCCAGCGCAGGCCCCACGCCCTGCTCGGCGCTGCCAACCAGCTTTGCAGCCCCCCTAAGGTGGATAGAAAGCCAAGAAGGACCAAACCCCTGCGGAAAGCCTTCCCGAGAAAGAGCCGCCACACACCCACAGCGCGGGGCCAACTTCGAGGAAACAGCCGTTAGGCAGGGAGGAGCAAGTATCAGAAATAGTCGTACTCAATATCCTCCCAGAGATCAGAGGACGCGCCGCATCCGTGAACCGAGAGCAGGTGCTATTTTAAGGAGAACATTTAGAGAACAAAAAAGCTGGGAAGTTAAAAGCGTGAGAGCAGAAACAAAACATCTCAACAGACTGGCTGGAAGAGAAAAGGAAGGGAATGCCCCAGAAGGCAAAGAGGAGAAAAAGAAGAAAGAGGGAATGAAAAACCAGACGATCAATTCGTCTCAACACAAAAGGAATCTTAACCCCACCCCCGCAGAGCCCCCAGACAGCAGGAGGAGGAAAAGAAGAAAGGAAATCATCAGTTAAGCATTTTTTTCCGGAAATAAGTTTCCAAATTGTCAACAAAATCGATAGAAATTGACCCATATCAAGGCATATTATCTTGAAAAGCAAATCACTGGGGATTAAAAAAAAAAAAATAGTTTCCCCATTTCCAGGCACCATAAAAAAGAGAAGGAATGAGAATAGCTTCAGAATTCTCAAAACAGGGCAAGCTAACCCATCTCAAAACAGGGCAAGCTAACGCTTCTGTGGAGCGTGCCCTCAGAAGCTGACAGAAAATGATTTCTGGCCTGGAATTCCTCACTTTGCAAAATTAACGATCAAATGTGAGATTGAAACAAAGACGTTTGCACACGCAAGGTCTCAACAAAATTATTTCCCACACTCCCTCTCTCAGCTACCAGAGGATGTGCTCCAGCAAAACCAGGGCGTAAAGCATGAAAGAGGCCGATGAGAGATGGAAGAAACAGAGGATCCAGCAAGTGGGGAGGGACCCACAGGGTAGGGGAGGAGGGCTGGCAGGAGGGCGGCTGTGTACCGGGCAAGAGGGCGGCTGTGTACCGGGCAGGAGGGCGGCTGTGTACTGGGCAAGAGGTTCCCAGTCCAGGTGACAGCAAGGTGATAGCATGTCCAGGTGGTGGCATGTCCAGCTGTCTAGGGCTCAGACATCTGGAGTGCTGTCATTGCCAAGATGCCTCCTGCCATTGTACCAGCCCTTCAATGCCAGGCGAGCCCAGCCCCTGCTCCCCTCTGAGCCTGGCAGCTCAGGCCATGTTGCAGCAGAGTGCCTGTTCACCTCTCCACAGACTGCCACCTGTGTAAGCTAAAGACCCTCACTTCACCCCACAGAAGCACCTACTTTGATCTACTCTTAGCAACAGGAGGCAGTCATGGGGAACAAAGAAACAGAAAACCCAGATATAAGCCCACCAACCCGCCAGATGTCCCAGCCGAGGAGGCCCTGGGTTCCCCAGGAGCCCCTCACGCCTTGCTCACGAGCTCCCTGAAAGAAGCCCCTGTAAAGTGTGGGGCAGCTGCGGTCCCAGACTTTCACCTTCTCTTCTCCCAGGCTCCTCCGTCTAAGGGTAGCAGCCCCAAATCATCACGGACGGAATCGTGACCCCAGTTTCATATTCAGCACTGGACACGTCCACGGATCGGAAGGAGTGAAGGTCCGACTGCAGGAGAGTCGAGGAAAGCAAGACGTCAGGGGCCGGCTTTTCCCTTGCTGGACGTGGATGTTCTTGTGAGGTCCACAGACGTCCGGCCTGTGGGAAAGCCGATGTCACCCCG